CTGCTCTTCTCCTCTTTCACACAGATGCCGTACCACAGACAGAAGCGTGGCATGAAGTGTCGCTTTTGCTGCGGCTGCTGCAATGCTGGTGTCTGTGGATTGTGCTGCAGATTCTGAGAATATCTACCTGCGATTATCACAACAACCACTAAATATTGACTGTTATACATGAAATGATTTGACTGCTTAGCATTTGTTAAAGTCTGACAGTGTTTCTTCATTCGGTCATCCTGCTGTAACAGTGAACAGTGTTCCAAGCATTTGGAACTACAGTATGTTATTATATTAAAAAGTTCAGAGTCACTATACTACAACATGTGCTGTTTTTTTCTGTTTCTGTCTGACAAGAATAAAACTTTAATGGAAACCAGTGACATGAAGCTCCTGATGTACAGTTTTTGTGCCGATGTCAGTTAAGAGTTGTGGCCTCATACTCTTGCCCATGTCATATGTGGTACGACCTGTTAATAGAGCCAAGTCATTGATAGCAAAAGTAAAGTGAGCATATTTTCCCATATTTGTAATTATATGAGTAGGGAGCATCTCATCATCATTCAATTTTACCACTAATTATGACAAAAATGCAGTAATGTACAATAGCTTTGAGCTGATGGACTGGTTCATTGGTTATTTGAAAGTTAAACCAAGCATACTTTTTTTAAAGAATGTAGAAGTGTTAGATAATGTTTCCTAGAAACACTTTCTATACAAATTCATTCATAAATGTTTTAGACAATCTTTTCTTGACAACTTTTCACTGAATTTATTTGGAGGTGTTTTCACGGTGTGCATATGAAGTTTCTATGCTGCATGATTAATGCAGGAATCCCTCACACAGAAGAAAAAGAGAGAATAGAAAGATTTGCGTACAGTTGAAATGTGATACTGGACATAATAATAGAAAACATCTCAACAATACTGAGAGACGTTGCACTGTGGTGAAACTGTAAAGTAGGTGTAACGCTGTGTAATGCTGTTTCAGATAATATCTGTATTGTATGTGCGCTGCATCAGTTCTGCAGAACATTTAAGCAAAAATATTTCACGACACTTCATAAAAAGCTAGAGTAGCTGTATCATGTGGATGTAGCGTATCACAAGCAGGCTCAAAGCCAGTACAACCAAACGTGATCAAACGTCAGGCCAAGCTGGAACTGATTCCTGTCTTCTGTAACTTCTACAACACTGTCCAATAGAGACACATGAATGAAATGCAGTGTCATTAAAAACACTGATGATTTTTTTTCATATTCTTCATGTAATTTAAAAAATGTAATATATTTACATCTGAATAAACTTTTAGGCCCTACGCTGACTGATTGATGCAGAATTCCCGTTGGACTGTTCCCATCACGACCCAGGTGATCAGTCTCTCGATAGCTTTTCCTCTGGTTCCTGCTCCCTGCTGACACTCCTAGCTCTAGCCACGTTCTCCATTCCATCTCTTTAAACAAATTCTTATAAATAGTTTAACCATGTGCATTGAATCTGCGTTTGGGTCTAAGCCTTCTATGGAGGGAATATATCTACACAGTGACATCCATTCAATTTTAAATTCAATTCAATTTTATTTATAGAGTGCCAAATCACAGTAATCGTCACCTCAAGGTGCTTTATATTGTAAGGTAAACTTACAAAGAAAAACCCAACAATCAAATGACCCCCTATGAGCAAGCACTTTGGCAACAGTGGGAAGGAAAAACTCCCTTTTAACAGGAAGAAACCTCCAGCAGAACCAGGCTCAGGGAGGGGCGGCCATCTGCTGCAACCGGTTGGGGGTGCGGGGAGGAAAACAGGATAAAAGACATTCTGTGGAAGAGAGCCAGAGGTTAACAACAAGTACAATTCAGTGCAGAGAGGTCTATTAACACATAGTGGGTGAAGAAGAAACACCCAGTGCATCATGGGAATCCCCCAGCAGCCTACGCCTAATGCTGGACATACACTGTGTGGCCCATTTTGAGCCGATTTTTCAGTCATGCGACCGTTTTGGGGATCGGCCCGAGTTTGGCCTTAATCGTGTGTTGTGCATCGTATACATGGGGTAACGTGAAGTGATTAACACCTCACGACCAGCTCCCGATCATCAGTCGTTTGGTCGTAAGAAAATCAAACCTGTTTGAAATCCTGTCGGCCGTCGTGAGGGTGTCAACGCAACGTCTCACACTGCGCACGCGCAAACACAGAGACGAAAACGAAAAGACAGAACAGCACGGCAGTGCAGCGTGTGATCCGGACACAAGCGATGGAGGCACAACTTGTAGAACTGCCAAGCTCATCCGAGCCTTTTCGATGTGGCCTCACAAAATTATCGCGACCACAACAACCGTGAAAATAGTGTAAAATTTTGTGTTATAACCTTCATGCTAAGGACACACAGTGTGAGCACTCAGGTCGCACAGAGCATCGGGCCATATAGTGTGAGACTCTGCATCGTGACCTACGAACTTCTAAACCCTGCGACTCAATCGGACAGCTTGAACAGGAGCTGACTGAAAAAATTACACAGTGTATGCCCAGCTTATTGCAGCAAAACCAAGGGAGGATTCAGGGTCACCTGAGTAGGCCATCAGCCTACTAAAAGGATACAGAAAAAACCCGTTGAAATAGTGTTAGTTGTCATCACTGGTGCTGGTGGACTCATTTGAACACCTCCGAAATTTGCAAACACGCAAGTATTCCTATTCTTCCTCCAAATCCTCTCGGGACCTTTTCCTCGAGCCTCCAGTTTCATGGTTGTCAGGCTCTTCATGTGCGTCTTCAAAAAGTTCATCACTACTGCTCTCAGAGTGATCATACACATTTGAGCTGTTCCCCGAATCAGAGTTTGCGAGCCTGGATTTTTTGCTATTAGGCTCTTCTTCATCTCCATCTTCCTTTCTGGACCTTTTCGTGGCTCCAACAGGCAGCGGTACCTCATCAGCAATATTACCAAGATGAGGACGGCCCTCGCTATCAGTGTCACAGGCAGAGATGAAGTCAGTGTCATCATCAGAAGACTCCTCGCTCCATCTGATTCTTTTGTTTGGTTCCGCATCTTTCACATCCATCTCTCTAGACCGCTTCCTGGATACACCTGGCTGAGGATCCTCTTCTGGGATGTACGGGTGAACATCCTCACAGTCTTCAAATGCCTCATCAGAATCGTCATTTTCAATGCCGACAACAACAACAGCATTATGATCATCATGCAGTTCATTGTTGTCAACATTGGCATTATTGTCTCTCCCATTAATATTTTGATTGTTTACATTGTTGACATTGCCGTCATTGACATTGTGAAAGTCAATGTATAAGACATCATATTGATCCTCTAATTCATCTAATTGCTCAATCAGTCTCCAAAAAAAGATATCATAGAGAAAAACACAAAGACGGTCCACTAAACCCCAGATTCCACCAATAGGTTCATAAGCTGGCTCCTGATCTCCTCCTGGAAACATTTCTGGGTTAACCTGTCGGCCTGCAAGATCATTTTATCTTTTAATTAGCATTCATAAATATCTGCTGAAAATCAGTTTTTTATCAATTTCAAGACTGAGTACATGTGCTTACCATTATGGTTATTTTGTGATCGATCTCCGCCTCCATTCATTTTGACTACAAGGAACAGAAAACAACAATGATCACTAAACCTCAACTCAGAATGTTCAGCGAATTTGCTTTTTTCGTGATAACTTTAGGCTACGTCCACACGTCCACGGGCATTTTTGTAAACGGAAGTTTTCCTTTTTCGTTTAAAAAAAATCCCGTCCACATGTGCAGTTTTAAAAAAATATCTCCTTCCACATGTAAACCCTAAAAACAAAGTCAGGAACATGCCAAATCCTAACCGTGTAGAAATGTTGGCCAATCAGAAGTCTAGAAGCCTGGGACCTCACAAAACCTTACGTATTTCAGAAAGGTTTTTGTCTTTTTCTGGAAAGGCAGCTAATGTTGTGTTACTTTCAAGTGCCTTCATCATTTCAAATGTTAATAACTAAAGACAGCATTTTGGCTGGTATAGACTCACAACTTTGGAATGGACAAAATGCATATAGCATACATGAATGTCATTTTTTAAAATTACATTTATTGCAAACCGACGTCAGGATTTGGGTTGTGAGAGCGTCTGTGTTGAATGATGCTCACCCTGATGCCTCTGTCTTTCTAAATGGAGGGACAGTAACTGCGTGTGTTTATGTAAGCGTGTAAAAACTGCAGATACTAAGATAAACAGCAGAGCTTCTGTCACTCTAAGATATGATTAAGAACATTTTCTAATTTATGTATAATTTGTCAAATAT